AAATTTAATTCAAATAAACTCAGTTCTAATTGAGTTCAATTTAAATAAACTCAATCCATTCAAATTATCCCCTCTGGATCTGATAGAATGACAGTGATTTTCCTTATAAAATATTAATTTCTTTTAATTTGGGCTAGCCTATAAATATTAAGGTCACATCATACCCTGCAAACGGATCTGGAGTCTAACTGTCAACATGAAAAAGACGTAAAAAATCATTCATATTTAGGTTGTCACGTTTTAATTATTCATTTATTTTATTTCAATTTTTGCTATTATTTAGGTTGTCACGTCATTGCTCAGTTTAATGAGATCGTGCTTTAAGCACCATTATAGAATCCAAACCCTAAAACGGATAAATTCAATGTCCATTCTTGAACTGCATAAATTATAGCTTTGAAAAACATTTTGTTTAATAAAAATTATATAATTTTAAGATAAAAGGGATTCTTTTTTATCACAATGGAAAAATATTTTTCTATTAAAAGTAATAACATTTGAGTGTATGTACAGTATCTAAATATAAGTACCTCTCCTAATTGCAATTTGAACTTGATTTACCACCTTATTTATTTATTATGGTTTGAATTCTCGAACGACAATTAAGGGCATGTTTGGTTATGTAATACAAATTTTAAATTGTTTTTCAAAACAAAACAAAATAAAAATACATTTGGTAATGTTAATTTAAAAATAATTTTGAAATTTAAAAATAAGATGATAGTAACGGCAATTAATAGTGATGATTTATGATAAATGTTGGCACCAGTAGATAAAATTATAGTATGAGTCGTGTAAGGATATTGTCCTTAAGAGCTATTTCACCACATTGGGTTGATCGCACGGCTACTTCTTAGGATTAAACAGATTCTTTCTACTAAAAGTAGGGATACAAAAAAATAAAAATTCACAAAATATACTCAAGTCACTATACAATGAATCAGTATGATGAAAAAGGAGAGAAAGGCCAAGAGTACTAAGACTTTCTTTGAACCTGTGGCAAACACTGCCTTTTATAGGAAGATTTCATAATGTTGAGCAATAAAACCACCTTAATCACAATTAAAAAATAATTTTAAATAATAATTCTGTTTAAATTATATGTTACAAAATAATAAATAGAATTGAATAATAATTAATATTATTTATTTATAACAATTCCTTTTGAAATACTTAAAAAATATTTTATAATATTCAATAATCCCCCTCATATTTCAAAAGGAAGGAAATTTTTTTTTTGAAAAACCATCTTACACAAATAATTTTGTATCTCCACAAAATAGTTTCCAAAATTTTGAAAAATTGCCCAAAATTACGACTAACTTGTGTGCAATTGTATGCAAGAGCTCATTTCTCCTTTAAGCCTATTTATTAGCCCAAGTTCACATCTTAGTATCTATAAACTAAAGCCTTCATTCATTTGAGCAATATGAGACTTTTCTTTTTGACACAATTGTAACAATCCTTCACATGTATCAAAAGGACCACTATCATCTGAGTCATTTACACGAAAGATAATCACTTCAAATTTGGTGTCTTTTGGCTTGAACCAAACCTAAACCAATAGAACTTAGCACACAAAAAGTCAGGGTAACTTTATTATTGAACCAACAAATCTTGGTCGTGTGCTAAAGGTCTTTATACCCCTACAATTTCTATTGTTAACAACAGTTTTGCATGTTATCGACCATATACGCCCTTGATTTTAACAAATACTCTAGAGATTTCACTATGATCTCATAAGAGCTGCCCCACTTCACATTCGTATAGGTGATTTCATCAAGTGTATTTACAATGAATACGCCATCCAAAAGTACTATGAAAATCATCAAGAATTTTCACTCAGCCTTCAATGAATGAATTCCAGCACTTTCTCGAGCCATATGAAGGGACAAAAAATTTAGTGCTAGTAAAATTGATAAGTGATTTGTTATTACTCATTGACCATTTTTCATGGGATTTCCAATCAGATTGCCATCACCATTAATTTCAAATAGGCTTAACTCCTATTCTCCTCAAATTTTAATAATTAAAATCATCCTCAGGGGCTAGTTAATGAATCCGTCAAATTTACATCTAATCTTACAAAATCGGTTGAGATAACTTCCTCTTTTAGCATGCTTAATTGTATCTCAAATAATATCTATCTATGCCATTATTCTTTTTACAATGACTATTGCCATTTGGCAATCACAAATCATCGACATGGCTTGTGTCAGTTTTACTCACAGTAGAATATTCATTGAGAAGTTTTTAAATTACTCAGCCTTATTATTAGCCAACTTCAAAGTAATAAACTCTTGCTCACGTAATATTTTATTTAGCTACAAATGAATTTCTCCTCATTTGAATATAAAATTCAATCAACATCATTATATTATTTTAATACAATAGAAATCCATTATATTTGCTATCAACATTTATGATATCCCTTAAATAATCTTTTATCTCATCCTCTTATGAGACTATACTTGATGTGCTCAATTTTCACATGGTATATGTTATGGGATTAATATTAACTATATTAATGCAACAAGCTCTCAAAAATCTGTACATACCTACACACACAAATTGAGCAATAAAATCATCCTGTTTACATTCTTTTTTAATAACATATTTATATTATGAGAATGCTCATCGACACTAAGTTTTGAATTTTTCATAGTAATACATGCTATGGTCCTATTCTTATATTTGTTTTCATCACCACTAAGGGTGGATAATCACTAATGGCTTTTATCACATTAACATCTGTGTATTTTATACACCAGGAAATCTACTATTCACAATCCCATAATTTAAAAATATACTATTTATCTCATATAAATCATAACACATAAAAATAAATCATCATTCACAATCACAACAATGAATGTTCATGCCAAGATAATTAAATAAGTCATGTAGCTATTTCAAGATACATTTATGTACTACACCATATATGGTTAAATTTTGTACCATCATCACAATGCTTGTTTCAAGCTAAGCCACAAAATTTCATAATTAACAAATGTTGTCATCATGCAAGTAATAGCCTCCTCTTAATTATCTTTGTCATTAGTATTCATGTTGGGACTTTTCACTCCAAAATGTGTGTTTTTGAGGTTTTAAGCGAGTCCGAATTTTAGGATAAATGTGGCATTATTGGTATCCATATTTTCACTATTGCTCATTTCAAAATATACTTTGTATATTACAAGCACCCGAACACTCAATTTGTTTATAATCGGGAACTCATTGCCTCATCACCAAACCTCCATTAGGTCCAAATCCATTAGGCTTAGTATATCCAAACAAGATTAACTTGCCAAAGATAGCTCTTAAAATTGTTGGCACCAATAGGTAAAAATACAATCTAAGTTATGCTCAAGGACACTATTCTTAAGAGCTATTTCGTTACATCAGGTTAATTGCGTGGCAGCTTCTCAAGATTAAACAGACTCTTCCTATTAAAAGTAGGGATACATAACAACAGAAATTCACAGAATATACTCAGGCCACCATACTATGAATCAGTATAATAGAAGAGGAGAGAAAATAAAAGAGTACCAAGGCTCTCTTCAAACTTGTGGCAAGCATTGCCTTTTATAGGCAAATCTCATACTGTTGAGCAATAAAACTACCTTAATCACAGTCAAAAAACATTTTCAAATAATAATGCTATTTAAATTATATGTTACAAAATAATAAATAAAATTAAATAATAATTAATATTATTAATTTATAACAATTCCTTTTGAAATACTTAAAAAAATATTTTATAATATTCAACAATGAAAACTTTGTCAAACTAACTATATTTTTCAATAACCAATGGAATTTTTTTAAAACAAGAAAAATAAAATAAAAACAATTTTAAAAGGCTTGTTTGTTTTCTATCTTTAAAAATTAATTATTTAAAACAAAAATAATTAAAAAAAATTTTGGTTAAGTTTTTTTAAATTTAATTATTTTTAAGTTGTTTTCATTTTTTGTTCTTAAAAATAAAAAATAAAAACAAATTCAAGTTTTTTCGGTTTTATTTATCCTATTTTCAAAATACACTATTTAATTATTAAAAATTACATTTATTTTAAGCATTTTTTATCATAAATCACTATCATTAACAGCTTATAACTATCACTATTATATTATTTTTTTAAATTTTAAATTTTTTTTAAAAATTAACTTAATCAATCAAATTTTTATTTTATTTTATTTAAAAAAATTCTAAAAATTGTATTATAAAAAAATTTAAAAAAAATAAAAAATAAGAATAAAAACCAACCAGGTTCATTTTTGTTTTTAAAAACAAAAATGAGAACATTTTTGAAAATAATTAAATTCAAAACACTTATCCAAATAAGTTTTTATTTTTTAAAAAAATAGAAAATAATTTTTAAAACCATAAACCAAACAAGTCCTAATTATATTTATTAAATGCAAATAAAAGAAAAATTAACAATTTCAAGAATATACTCCTCTTATCCTATTTATAGGGTAGAGAGAAAAGATTTGTTTAAATTTTTTTATAGGACATTATTGTGTGCATTTTTATCCTTATTAAATATTGAAAAAGTTATCAAATACTAAAATATTTTATTTTTAAAGTATATATATTTAACAGGAGATAAAGTTTGAAAACTTGATGAATTTTTGAATAAAGTTAATAAGGTTTAAAATTTTTCAAGTTAAATTATTCAAAAATCTCATCATCAATGAACTGAGCTAGAGTGTTACTAGTGAATTCTTTCTTATATATATATATATATGTAATTATTTGACCGTGTCAAATTCAATCATTGTTAGGTCCAATTGAGAGAAAATGGCTCTGGCAAAGATACCCAAGATCTCGTGTTTAAGTGTCATGACCCCGTCCACTAAAATCACCACTTGTTTTATTTTTTATTTAAGGTACCATCGGACATTAAGTGTGAGCATATCTTTCAATTGGGATTCAAACATAAGTTCATCATATTATGAAAGACTAACTTTTTTTAGCCATCTCCAATCCTCATTGGTAGAGCCAACACTTGTTAGTATTAGTAAAGTATCACTCGTCTATCATATCTGAACTAGTCGCCATTTGATTAAAACAACCATAGATAATATAATACATGCATGAAGAGTGCATCGTGGCCATATGTAAATAGGGTCATATCTAGTCATCAACCCCTTTACCTTATTTAATTCAGCTCCTTTCTCGATTTGCCTTTTCCGATCCATCATTGTTGATCTGTGATTACAGCTCATCAAATGCTTCCTTCAGTTCCCAGATTGATGCCACAGAGCTACGAGGAAAAGATAATCAAATTTAGTGATATGCAGAAGAGTCTTCCTCTCTCAATCCTATCTCTCTCACACACACAAAATTGATTATTGAAAAAAAAATAATTAATATAATTGACTATGTTATATAGTATAATTGATTAATAAAATTGAGAATCAAATCATTAAAACCATGATTTTATAAAAATATAGCCAAACACTCTATATATTACATGTCAAAATCAATTATAAATTCAAAACTATAATTTAAAAAAAAAATTATCCAAACACCCTTAAGGTTCATTTGGATATTCATAGGTGTCATGCCCCAAAATATGGAAATAACCGGCATTAGATACATACCAAAACACACATCTCTTAAGCTTAATTCAAGAAATTTTTTATTTTTATATACTTTTCACTTAAATGAATCCTTAATATTTTGTGGAAATTTCAGAAAAATTTCCCCAAAAATGAAATTTCTTGAAATTCTGCAATACAAATTTTCAAACAGATATTATAAAAATTAGGAGCTCAGCTCTTTCCAGCCAATAGACAAGGTATTTAACAAAATAAAGACCCTAATCATAGCCTATGTGGAGCACCTATAATATTATTTATAAAAGTATAATATATAAATTAGAATTTTACATAAAAAATAGAGATTAACCAAAATAACGTCTCAACTTCAATTAAGTAGCAAAATACCTTGAATGATTTCACGAAGATACAGGCTATCTGAAACTAAAAATATTTTCTGGTGAATAATATTCCAACCATAACATTTTGCAAATTCAAAATGAATAAACTACAACATATATATAAATTAAAGAGAAAACAATTCAATATAAACAAGATTGTAAGCTCGGAATAAAAGTTTTATATAACTTTAATATCAAGAAACTTAAAATTTATAATAATAAAATAACTTTAACATTTGATCTTGATAATTCAAAATAATTAAATAAATGCATAAATGAAACTAATAACATTTGCTAATTAAAAACAATTAAAGTGTGAAATCATCAATTAATTAAAAATTTAAATTTCTAGAGATTTATCAAAATAATTCACAAATGTGGACACACAGTTTACGAGGGTAAATAATCAAACGCGGCTAATGCAATGAAGACAAACGTAGACACACAATTCAGGAGGGTAAATAACCAAGTATAGCTTAAGCTACGAAACAAACGTGGATACACAGTCTATGAGAGTGATACTAGCCAAACATGACTTAAGTCATGAAACAAACGTAGGTGTTAGACTTATGAATAATAAATGTGAGAATATAGCTCATGAAATTCAAATTAGCCAGGCATTAACCATGGCGCGCCAAGGGCTAACAAAACTATCGTTAGCAACCAGTGTTCTGTATCAAATTCCCTCCAAATTCATTTTCAAACATGAAAGAAAATTATCACTATTAAAATATAGTTTTCATTCTCAAAGTTAAATTCACATGAACAGTTTTGAGCATTAAAAACTTACCAAAATAAAATTTCATAACTAATGTCCATGTTTGGCATTTACTGAGTAACCCAAAAATAACCAGAGTTAATAAAAATAATCTCATTAATTTTGAAAGTATCCTTCTTAAGAAAAAAAATATACACATGTCATAATTTAAATATCTTTCAACATCTCTTTATAATTTTCAAAGATAAAGATAATTTAATTAACAAAGTATTAAATATGTAATATAATTGTTATTAAATGATCTATGTAAAAATAATATATGAAAAAAAAATTTTATTGATAAATCAGTTGGGATGCTATTCACTTACTTGGTAGATCTTCGAACACATAACTTAGTTCCAAATTAGCCCTTTTTGCAACGACAACTCAAGGTACTTAAATTTTTATTGTCCAAATAATACTATAGTCAATTTTCTGCATACGTTGACAATCCAAAATTTACAATCTAAATTTATTGAAGGATAAGAATAGATATTTTTTTTCTCAACAATTTCCAAACATTGCATCAATTATTTCTTAAAAATTCCAAAGACTAACATACCAATAGCAACCTAGCTCATGAATCACCAATCAAAATATCTATTTCACAAATCTCCAACTTCTGCCTCAACTTGCATTATAAAGCGTCTTTTATAATATTTTGACTAACAACAATACAATCATCACAAGTATCATGCCACAATATGTTAGATCCTTCTAACAAATATTTTTCGAACACCTTGTAGGCACTATTTTCTTTTTTAAACCATGATACCAAGTTCTCTTCTCTTTCCATTTCCCAATAATATATAAGAGGATTTTATAAGATTTCCTACGATTTCCATAAACTTCCTTCTAACATGAATACAATAAATATATATTTATAATAAATTTGAAATTACCCAAATTTTATTACTCTATTAATCCAAAATACTTCTATAACCCATTTTATCAAATACCTAAAGTGCACACCAAAAATGAATCATAAAAATACAATTCCGTATAAAGTAGAGCATGATTCCATGGTTGGATGGGAATTTGTCTTCCTTTAAGGAGGGGTTCCCTAATTACAAACTAAACAAGTTCATTTCTATACTAAGATAGTAATATCGACTGTAACTCCAATTTTTAAGGGACCTATTGGTAATTATTTTCCCCCTTGCCGAAGACTTCTATGTAAATCTCCCTAAAATTGAAGTCTAAGTATATCTCTTTGTACATACACATACAGAAAAACATTTAAATCTGTACAGAAAAGGAAAAAAAACCATTAAATTTGCAAAGAAGGTCAAAGTCAACACACACACATTTACCCTGTATTATAACTGATCTTGAGGACAATGTAATCTCGGTGTTTGGAGAGGAGCTAATTGGGAGCAGAAGGGAAGGAGTGTTTGGGTTCAATGGCCAAAATCAGAAACGGAACTGCCTTCACTGGACTCGCATTGTACACATATGCTTCTCAAAAGAACAAGTAAATCTTTTTTTTTTTTTTTTAAGAGCAAACCTAAATCTTTCACAGCATAAACTACGACTTACTACAAGTTGCAAAACTTCAGTTTAATTAACTTGAATTTCTCCAAATTATATCCTACCCGCATAATAGTCCCAATTAAGGAGGAAATTAAAAGCACAAATCAGCCATCACTCCAATCATCATTTACGCACAGCTAACAGGGGAAAGGAAGTGGAATCTCAACTCACCAAGATAATTGAGGAACGAAAATGAAGAAGGAAGGAGAAATTGAAGAACAGAGGAGCTGTGTTTACCATCAGAAATGCTGCAACAGCAGCGGAGTCCAGCCAAGACGCACTAGTGACGGACACAGCAGCGATGCAGAACATGTAGAGGTCTGGTCAAGTTGCTACTTCAAGAGAAAGGAGAAGGCCTGGCATCGAAACAGAGGAAGGAAGAGAAAACTTAGCTGTTACACAAAGAGATGAAAGGCAAAGGACCGACGGCGAAGCGGTGCAGCGGCGGTCACGGCGCCTACTTACGCCCACGCCGGTGTTGAGCTACAACCCGAGAAGGACAGCAGAGGACAGAGGTTCGAAGCTTCTGGATACTCAAGACTCTTGCTCTCTCAATCATCACCTAAAACACGATCTAAATTGAGGAAGGAAAGAGGAAAAATATCTGATGGTATTGGGGTAAAAAGGTAATTTTTTAAAGGCTGGAGCAAAATGAAAATAAGAAAAACAGCTAGAAGGATTCGAACAATGAACCTCTAGATACAAACTAACAATAATTTTCACTAAATTACCAATCCATCTTATTAAATCTACTCCAAAAACTAATAAAAGTACATTTGAATTATTTAATTATAAATTTTAATTAAATTCTTCTCCTTCTTGTTTTTTTGGATCATTATAATAAGTGATTATAAAAAAATTGATTAATATGATTGATTTTAAATATGATTAATTATGTTATGTGGTATTGTGAAAACTATAACTTTAAGAAAATACATCCAAATATTAAAGAAAAGTATTTATAAATTGAACTTACCTTAGAGGAAGATGGTGGACGAGACGGTCATGGTGGTGGGGCAAAGAGGAAAGGAGGAGCAGTACAAGTGGAGCTCGCCTTTGTGTAATCTTGTAAATGGGTGCCAGCTTGTGTAACACACATGCAAATCTCAAAGAGTTGAAGTGTACCAGACTTGTCTCTCTTGCATGTCTCTCTTGCATGTTATAGCCGCCATTTTTGTTGTGGCTTCCTCAATAGCCTTCAGTACTTTATCTGCCTCGTACATCGTTGTTCCATCATGAAGGATACCTATAAGTTTTACCTTGATGAGATATGTACTATCTAAATTTTAAATAGTTCAAATTTAATACAGTATTTTATATTTATTAAAATAAAAATTATATAATATTTTATTAATTTTTTTATCATTAATTGAATCTATATTTTAATTTAAAGGTTTTAATTTAATATTAAAATTTTTATAATTTTTATATATTGGTTACCCAAATGTACTTTGTAAAGTTTAATTTAATGTTAAAATTTTATATCTTGATTACTCATATGTATTCTATACAGTTTAGATATACAAGTTAAAAATTTTAGATCTAGATTGCATAAAATATATCTGGATAGTTAATATATAAAAATTTTAATATTAAATTAGAGCATCCAAATTTTATTTTATATATATATATATATATTATTAAACTCAATTTTATTTAATGAAAGACTTTTTATATGAACTTAAGTCCACTCACACTTGAACATTTGACAATTGGGAGTCATGTGTGAGAATTGATGTATAAGAAAAATGTTCTGCTTAGATAGAATTGTGATATATAAATGAGAGATACAATTAATTAGTAGAATTATTGATGAATTTATAATTAAGATGTGGTATTAAGCTCACTTATATACTCGTACTACTAATAATTTAACAAATGAAATTGAACCCATCAGCAATTTTTACTTAATTAACTGCCTGCTGCTCTCATTTTGGACAGGATGGGTTTGAGTGTGGATTTTTTCAAGATCAATAGTCATTTTGAGATACTGTTGTGGTGAGAACTTGTTTGAAGAGCAGCTTCCATGCTTCTTCCACTCGTGTTTCCAGAATGCCATGCTTTGTTGAAAGTTTTTAGCATGACATAAGTCTGGCCACAGTAACTTACTTTCTCTATCTTTATATATAAAATATTTTTAATTGAATTACATAAATCAATAAAAGTTTATTGTCTAATTAAAAGTACAGGAGCATTCTAATTTTGTCTTTAATTATTGTAAATAAAAAATAAATATCTTTTTTTAAAATAAATTAATGTGAATATTTATCTTTTTCTCTTTCTAATTTAATAAGGGTATAATAATCCATTCATTAAAAAAATGTCAATAACTCCTTATATTTAGGAATAAAATAAGGTTTTAGAAGACTTTTTATATATAAGGATGGAGGGAGTACTTAGCTGCCTTGATACCTATATATAATATCTCTATAGACAAACACCCCCTCAAAAAAATAAATAAATAAAGCAACGTATATGAAATAGGCGGTACTGGCTTACAATATTCTGGGCCTTTCCTAGAATTGAACTGAGGCTAAAGTCCATGAATGGTGAAATCTTGGTGGGCTGGAGGGTTAGGACTTCAAAGGGCTTTTTTAAGTTTTACACAGAGAGTTTGGGCAACAAAAGAAAAATCGAATCCTAGTTGAAGTTGGACGGCATTTTTTGGGTAGTATTTTTGGTGAGTTTGTTGAAGTGACACAAACACCAACACCTGTTTTGAGATCCTTATGATTGATTGTGCTGTGTTGCTGTTTCTGGTCGGACCATTTGTGCTTGCTAGCTAGCTATGGTTTTATAGCCATCTTCAACATCAAGTTGCATTTTAATACTCATCTGAACATAGCCGATCAACGTGGAAATCGCCAACCAACCACTTGGAATCCTCTGTTTAAAAAGTTGAACATTAAAAAAATATAATATATTTTTAATTTTTTGAGGTATAATTATTATTTTTTTAAAGTACCCCAATTGATGAATAATTTTATATTTATTGTAGGATATTTAATAAGGATAAATATAAAAAGATAGAATTAGTTTAAAAATAAGTAACTACTTTATTAATAGGTAAGATTTTGATTAAAAATATTTTATATTTTTAAACGGATGGAGTATAATTTATGATGACCAAGACTATAATCTCTATTTAGTCTTTTTGTTTTAAAAATTTAAGGCATTTTTTTGACCTTATTAATTAGATGTTCAAAAGTATAAAATACTTTTAGTTTTTTAATGTGTAATTAATGATTTTTTTAAAAAATATCTTTGACAAATAAATCAACCAACTCTAGTAAGACACTCTATTATAAAAACAAATATAAAAATATAACATTAGTTTATGTTATTGGGTTTTATAGTCACCTTTCTTTTATTTTTCTTTTTGACTGAATTATAGCCACCTTTCTAACATCACGCATGGTGAATCAAATTTAAAATGCAAACTTTAAATATTGTTTTCTTCTTTCTATTTTGCCTCTAACTAATCTAGTTCTATAAGAAAAAGAGGCATACTCTCCTATACAGACACATGCATACATCTATGCATGGTAATGTAAGATTTAAATCCTAAACCTCACACCCAAGAAAATGTGGTATTACCACTGAACCCTAAAGAAATGTTCATTATCACTAAAATAACTATACGTTGACTTTTATATCCAACTAGACGTTGGCTTATATATTGTTTTCTTAAACAATATATGAAGATGCTAAATTAGAGTTGGTGTGAATAATCATTAAAAGTATATTCAAACCACATTTGAGATATACTTTTGCTAAATCCAACAAATAGTTAGATATCTCAAATGAATTTTTATCACCTGTAAACTGAAAACCAAATACATACTTAGCTTTATTCAACATATAGAAAATAATTCAATGTCATGAGATGTACTATAAAAAAATTAACTTCCAGCAGCAACTGAAAGCTAAAAAATTACTGCTAAAAGTTTTTAGTTGTAACAAAAAGTCATCATAATATTGTCGAGAGAGTTCTTGTTACTAATTCTATCTGTAGTGACAATAAAGTCACCGCTAAAAGTTAAGAATCGGTGACAACAAATGCCACTGCAAAACAATAAATTTTGTCACTACTAAAAAGTAATGCCGGTTTACTTACCACGTGGCGCCATGTCATCCTTTACGTGACGCCCCCATTGCATGCCAAGTGGTGCCATGCCAACCACCATATGTCTCCACCATCACACGCCATGTGGTACCATGTCACCAATTTATATTTTCATTTCGCAAGTTGTCTCTTTCAAAGTTTAAATTCATAATCTCCTCCTTTTGTGTCCCACCATTTTGTCATTGGGTTGGAATAAACCTGTAATCTATTATTACATAATTATATATATATATATATATATTATTAAACTATATAAAAACTCATATATTAAATATTATAACATTTCATTACTATCATTAAATACTTTAATTTAATTCTTTTAATTTATTAAAATTCAAATTATATTATTTATTTTATTTTTTTACCTCTTGAGGTTGTTAGGTTATTTATTTTAATATTGATATTTATAATTATAATATAAAAAATATCTAAGAATAAATAGTAAAAATATTGATGATTATACATTAGTTCATAATTATTTATTTTTCTAGCTAGTTTTATTTAAAATTTTGTTTTTACTTCTATTTAACAATAACTCTTAAGTAATGTAATTGGCTTGTTTTTACATTACATTTTAATTTTTTAATTAGTTTTCATTTTTGAATTATAATTTTATAAGAAAATTATACACTATATTATCTAATTTTTTTATATTTATGTCACAAGATAGCATCAAACCAAAAAAATTATATAGCATCACACTCATAGATATATTTCATATATTATGAAAGTTAAAAGTAGAGTTTTATAATATCTCATTTTTCTTCTTTTCAGCTTTCTCTTTCATATCATTAGCAATCAAATTGAAAACATTTAGACCGGCATCATTTAAAGTTACTAGTATTAAATGTATAATTTGAATTGAAAAATTAAATTAGATGAAATATCATTTTATAAATGAATAAATTTAAGTATCATATGTCTAATTATTATAAACAAGTAGTGTTATTATTTAAAATATTAATTTAGTCATCAAACATTTGAAAATAGAGACTCATTACCACAATATATGCATTCCAAATTAAAATATTAAACATTATATTTTTGAATGAATTTATCACTTCACATAAGGGTATGCATTAATCAATTCAGTTAGATTTGGTGTTAATTAACCAAATTGGCCTAAATAGTTGGACTGAATCAAACCAAATATTACTTGATAACAAAAATTGATGTAAAATAATATGGTTTAGCTTAATTCTTTAGTTTAGCTCATTAGCATTAAATAATACATTAACCTTATCTTAAAACAATTTAATCATTTTAAAGTTATAATTTAACCATAAAATATATTAAATGAAAACTCATTATGTTATTTTATATATTCATTATAAATTATAATAACACAATAAAATTAATGTCTTAAAATGTTAAATATTAGATTAAATAAAAATAAAAAATTATGATGA